GAACATTGTTTTTGGCCGGGGTTTGCAGGATTGAGAATTGGATGATTGTGCGTTGTTTCGACATCTCTATACGAGACACATATCAGGGCATGAGATAGTAGCAGGTGGAGAGTGATTAGAGATGGTATTTTTCTGTCAGTACCTATTTTCGTTCTTTTTAGAGAGTTGAAGAGAGCTCATTCCCCTGGAAGATGGTATGGAAGTGTAAACTGGCCCTACGAGTGGCATTTTTATTATAGACGGTGGTTAGAGGACATGTGTTAACGGTGGATAATCTTCACACAAGAGGTTTTTATGTTACAGAGTGGTGCTATATTTGCAAGAGGGACGGGAAGACGAAAAATCACTTATTCCTTAATTGTGATGCTGCTCGTTTATTGTGTAAGGATGTTTTAGTATCGCAGCATATGGATTGGTGATGTCGAGGCGTATAGAGGACTTGTTAAAGGCATGGAAGAGAAAGTTAAGAGATAAAAATAGCAAACTTGTATGGGACCTTATTCCGGGTTGCATCATGCGGTGTATGTGGAGAGAAAGAAATGGATACTGTTTTGAAGGCCAAACACGAACAACAGAGCAGTTTAGGGAGTTGTTTTATTTGACATTGTTTACTTGGTCTAATGCTGTGGCTACTAGACATATAGATGGGCTGCTTAATTTTTGTTTGTTTCTTTTTTATTTATATTGATGATACACTTCCTGTATATTAACTTTGATTAATATAATATTTGATTACCTTTCAAAAAAAAAAATTGACGAAGTTTGGTTAGCTTCCATGGCTGCTAGTTCAGCAGCCATATGCATCTTTCCGGTGGTCAAATTTCATAGCTTGATGGTAGAATTGGGGCTTAAAATTGGAAGGACATGAAGGAGAAAAGTCCTGTGTGAGGGAGAAAAGGTTGTGTAAGAGATAGATCTGCATGAGGGGCATGAAGAATTAGAGTTTGGAGGAGGTGTGTTGGTTAATAAGTTGCAATGATAGTCTCTAAGATAAGAAGGAGCTCTAATTATTATGGTTGTTCTTTTAGGAATAGGTGATGAGGAATGATCATTGTATGATCCCTGGAGTTGATTATAAACTAATCCTTGGGGAGAAATGTTGTATGAATTTAATGGATTGTTGGGACCAACATGTTTGATATCAAGAGATGAAGTTGTAGGAGAATGGCAAGTGGTTGAATCAGGGGCAACTTTTGGCAAAACTATATTAGGGAAGGGATCAATCAAATTATTTGAACGAGGAATTGAATGAAAAGGAAAAATATATTCATGGAAAACATCTCTTGAAATGAAGAATATCTTAGAGATGATGTCATATAGTTTGTACCCTTTAACAGCGGAGGATAGCTAACAAATACATTAAGAAGATGCTGGTGCTTTCTTTCCACCACAGAGTTTTGTTCAGGCCTTTTCACACAAGAAAATTGATGTATAATCCCTTTAGCATTAAACATATCTATAAATTGAAGTCTTGAGCACTATTTGATCTGAAATTTTTAATCATTTTATGAAACCGAGTTTCAATTAGAGTAAAAAAAATGGGAATAATGAATTTAACATTAGACTTATGCTTTATCAGATATACCAATGTAAACTGAGTGCAATCATCAGTCAAAGTTGGGACATTGTAAGGACCCCAAATATCACAATGAACCAAGTCAAATGCAACAAGAGATAAATGATTGTTCGAAACGAATAAGAGCCTAATTTGTTTAGCTAAAGGACATGGAACATGGAGTAGACATGCCATTATTTTGTTCATTACAATCAAATTTTAATTGGTCTCTCACCAAATTTAACTTTTTAAAAGATAAATAGCCAAGCATATGATGTTAAGTGTGACTAGTTAAATTACTGATCATTGAATGAACATAATTACAAATATTCCCAGAAGCACCATATTTATTTTGTACTTGATCAAGTGAACTTGCATTAATGAAATAGAGATTTGCAATTCTTTCACCCTTGCTAGGTATCTTCAAGATGTGTAGATCCTGAATCACTCATGAATCAGTGAGAAATTTGATGCTTAGGGAAGTATTTCTGGTTACGGAGCTCAATAATAACAGGTTGAATTTGAATTGAGGGATAAACAACACATCTTCAAGTACTAAATCAGGGGATAGCTTCACATTTCGAATAAATTGTACAGTGATTTTGTTCATGATTAGTCATTGTAACAAATGTATTCTGAATTTGTTTCATTGTATTAAAGTTGGATCGATTTGAACAGATGTGACTTGTAGCACCAGAGTCCACAACCCAATATTCAGGTGAATTGAACTTTGAATTAATAGATACGGAGAAGCAAGCACCTGATAGGTGGCCAGTTAACTCTGTATCTACCTTAGCAGCTGTGAGATAACTATTAAACAAACTCATCAGTTGTTGATATTGAGTAGGGTTCAATGTATGCACAAAGTTTCCAACATTGTTTTGTGTTTGATCTTGGAACAGATGGTACAATTTGCTTGATTGCTTGAACCTATTAGATTGTTAACTCCTGCTCTTTGTCTAGGCTTGTATCCAGGAGGAAATCCATGTAGCTTGTAACACTTGCCAACTGCATGACCTGTCTAACCACAATAGGTACAAATATGTCAGTCCTTCTGATATTTGTTATGAGATTGACCTGCGGCTGGTTTTCTAGCTTCATTTTTAACATAAAATGCCATCGAATAATGGATTCCAGACGTACCAATGTTCGAGTTAACCTTCAGTTGATTCTCTTCTTGTGCAATGAGGGCAAACACATTATTAATAGGGGGAATAGGGTCCATCAATAATAGCTGATCCCTTACTTGAGCAATAATTCATGTAATCCCATTAAAAATGACATGACATATTCCATTTGGTGATGTTCAGCAAGTTTCTTATTTCCTCGACATGTACATTTTGCATATGAACATATTAAGCCAGTAGTCTTCCCAAATGGTTTTCGGTTTGTGAAATAGATGCTGACGCACATTTGTTCCCGCTAAGGTTCATCAATTCACACCTTAAATGCCATACGTGTGGATCATTTTTCTGATGATATCTTTCCTTGAGATCTATCCAAATATCATATGTGGATTCAGAATACATCACACTTGTAGATTTCTCTTTGGAAACTGAATTGAGGATCAAGGGAATCACCATATTATTGTTATGGATCCATGGACTGAGCAAATCACCAGTGTTATCAGGTTGCATAATTATTATATCAATAAATCCTAACTTGTTCTTCACTGATAAGGCTATCATCATAGCAGGACTTCAAGAGGCATAATTATCCCCTGTCAAAGGCTGTGAAACGAGCACAAGGCCTGATCTGTTTGAGTGGTGAAGGAAGTATGGATTCAATCCATCATCAATGATTGAATTGCTGTTGATGATGAGGAGTTATGATCTGATTGATTTAGGGCATCAGTTACCACTGTTAATCAGTATCCTCTGATCAAGTTGTAATGATCAGTGAGGCTAATCAGATCTCAAGAATTGCAGCAGTAAGAAGCTCTGATACCATATTAAGGGAAAAGAAAAGAGTGTGGAAAATGAAGAAAGAACTTCTCATTCAATTCAATGAAGAATACAGCACGGTGGAATATATAAATACAATACAATGGAGCTACCAAATATGCCACGCTAGCTCTCGTTTAGCTAGTGCTGTATGGCTATCAAGATATATGGCCGAGATAATTTATGGAAATCATATAGGGTTGGCTCGCTTGGCCGACCCTCAAATAAAAAAAAATAAAAATGAAACAATGATTGACAGCTACAAAAGTAACTAACTATACAATTGGACTAACTACCAGTTACCAACTATAACTACCAGCTGCACTTGGCGCCAAATTGAATTTGAGCTCTTATAAGCAGTTTAAAAAAACCATGCAGATGCTGCAAAGTATGATGATAATACAAAAAGGCCGAGAACTTCATAGTCTTTAGAAAAGTCAATGCAATTGAAGCTTCAAACCATTTCATTGCGTTCAATTTTTTAACATTAAAATCTGTTGAAATTTTTGTGCAAGTGGTGGCATTGTTATTTGAGTGCTGCCTCTTCCCCAGTAACTACTTAGTTTTTGACAACTTAAAATATTCCATTAGCTGATTTTGTTCAAAAATTAGGTTTGCTGATAAGCAAATTGTTAGACGTCAAGAAACACCAAATGAGATCCCTGAAGGAGGGACACCTCATACAGTAAGTTTGTTGATGCAAGATCAGCTAGTGGATGCTGGCAAGCCAGGTGATAGAGTCGAGGTGAGATCATACATATTTACATTGTATTTGTCTTAAAGTATATCAACTGTAGTTTTTCTTTTGTTGTATTTTGGTCTAAGGTGCTAGTTTTACTCTTAGGCTACTGGAATTTACAGGGCTATGAGTGTAAGAATTGGGCAAAAACAGAGGACTCTGAAGTCAATATTCAAGGCAAGCACCTATAACTCCTTAGATTCCTTTTAGGTTCTCTAGTGAGGTCCCAGAGTTTTGATCTTGTGGACTTGTGACTCCAATATGAAAATAATGCAAGGTAATTAGAAATGTGTTTCGAAATAAATAACAATTTCTTTTGTTTTCAGACTTACATTGACTGTCTTCATTTAAAGAAGACTGACAAGTCAAGAATGCATGTGGAAGACCCTATGGAAACTGAAGATGGAGCAAGCAAAAATGATAACAACTCTTCTGTTGACTATGAAGAGAATGTACTGTATTGTATTTCTTCTTCAATTCAAAAGAAATTTGTTTTTAATTTGACTTTTTATGGGATTCCTGTTTAATGTTGCAGGTAGAGCTATTAAAGGAGCTATCTAAACAGTCTGATATATATATACAAGATTGACTAGATCTTTGGCACCAAACATATGGGAGTTGGATGATGTTAAGAAAGGCCTATTATGCCAGGTGCCAAATTGTTCTCGCTGTTGAAATTCTGTTTGATTCATGTACATTGAAGCTTGATTTGTCAAGCTTGTTTGAATTTGTATGTTTTTAAATCTTGTTGGGGGTGAATCCTATGTACCTTTTTGGTGGAAATGCGTTGAAGTTGCCTTCTGGGGCTAGCTTTCGAGGAGATATCAACATTCTTCTTGTTGGTGATCCTGGAACGAGCAAATCTCAGCTGCTCCAATACATACACAAGCTGTCTCATCGTGGTATCTATACCAGTGGACGAGGAAGCTCTACTGTTGGGTTGACTGCGTATGTTGCCAAAGATCCTGAGACAGGAGAAACTGTATGAGTTTAAAAATATTAGGCTCATTTTGTTTGATTTTAAAAGTACTAGGTTCATTTGTTATTCAATAGCATTGCAAACTCGGGAAATATCTTACTACAAATGACTTCATAGGTTCTGGAGAGTGGAGCCTTGGTTCTAACTGACAGAGGGATCTGCTGTATTGATGAATTTGACAAAATGTCCGAAAATGCAAGGAGCATGTTACATGAGGTGAAAACCTAAACAGCTATCCTTCTCCTTTTCTCATTGATCAACTTACCTTGTTGCATTTTAAAATATTGAGGCGGGAACAGTTATGAAGTGCCACAACTTGATATGAAGGAGAAAATACGAGTTCCCCGGCATTGCTGTGTGCCATCAAGTTGCCACAATTTTTTGATTATTCTATTCTTATTTTAATTTGGTCTTTTCTTTAGGTAATGGAGCAACAAACTGTTTCAATTGCAAAGGCAGGGATCATTGCTTCCCTTAATGCTTGAACTTCAGTTTTGGCTTGAGCAAATCCAATTGGATCACAATACAATCCTCCGTTGTCTGTGATTGACAATATACACCTTCCTCCTACCCTGTTGTCCAGGTAAAAGTTTGATTAGCGGGTGCCAAATCATAGTACTATGAGGTTGTAAAGTCCTTTTTGAAACCAGAGCATGCTATGCCTGTGAATTGGTCTTCCTGGGAACATTAGTGCAACTGTGTAGGCTAGGACAGGACAGAGAACATCACTAATGGTGTCAATTTTGTACATTCTGATTATGAGATGATAATGGAGTAATATTAGAGTTTTTTTAAATATTGGAATTAACAGTGTTACTGATATAAAAACCTGTTTTTTCCAGATTTGATTTGATTTATCTAATTTTCGACCAGGCTGATGAGCAGACAGACAGGCGCCTTGCGAAACACGTTGTGGCATTACACTTCGAAAATCCTGAGGTTTGGATTTTTTTTTTTCATTTCTAATTCTCTTTTTAAATAAAAAAGTTATTTCACTTGTCCATCTTCCCATTTTGCCTCCTCCTTGCAGCATTCAGACCACGATGTTATAGACCTTTCAATGTTAACTGCTTATTTGAGCTATGCTCGGAAATATATACATCTGAAGTTATCAGATGAAGCTGCTGAAGAGTTGACAAGAGGGTATGTGGAGATGAGAAGAAGACGAAATTTCCCTGGAAGCAGCAAAAAGGTCATAAATTATGTAAATTTATTTTATTTAATATTATAAACTTACTAAATATGTGTGATATCTGGTGTATCGGTATGTATAGTCATAATGAAATTTCTTGTATTAATAAATGTTTTCTCACAAAGTTGCTTTTGATCGTAGTCATATTCTTCATTCCTATCCGTCATTGGATTTCTTGGGCTCTTGGGCTCCTATTTTGACATCAATTACAATTTGACAATAGTAATAATGCTAACTCTACTAATGCCGATGATTGCCGTAGAAACAATGACAATGTTGACAATAAAGATAATAATGATGCTTTTTCTTCTTTATGATTTCTCACTAGTTTTGATTGTCTACAGGTGATAACAGCAACACCAAGGCAAATTGAAAGTTTGATTCGATGGTGAGGCGTTGGCCAGGATTCGTTTCTCAGAATGGGTCTGTTCAGTTTCACTTACCGTCACAGAAGCAGTTAAAAAATGGGATGATTTACACTATTTGTTTACTTGTCCACACAGGTTGAAAAGCCAGATGTTGTGGAGGCTTTCAGGCTCCTTGAAGTTGCACTGCAGCATTCTGCTACAAACCACTCAACTGGTAAATATTTTCTTTCAATTTTCTTTTAGTAGTTGAACTCTTCAGCAATAACTCCGATTGAGCTCTGTAGCTCTGTAAGTTACACAACAGATGTTTGTATCTTGGCTGGAAGTTAACTACCACGACTGTTCACCAAAAAATATGGCCAGTCACATAATTAATTCGTCAGCTTGTAGCATTGACTTTACTTTATTTGCTACTATATAATCGTCCATATGATTTAAAAGCAAGTTTCATCGGAACAAATCTCGTTTTGTCATGGTAAATTTTGCTCGTATTGCTGCATGGTTTTTCTCCTTTTTCTGCACATGGAAAATCGTTTTTATATATTGTGCAGGAACTATTGATATGGATCTCATTACAACTGGGGTTTCTGCAAGTGAAAGGATGAGAAGGGAGAATTTAGTATTAACTACCCGCAACATAATTATCAAAGTCAATGAATTATCTAGCTGGATCTTGGCTCATCTTAGCTGTCAAGCTCGTGTGGAATATTGTATTTTAGTTTGTTATTTTAGTTGTGAACTAACTTTCCCGCCTTTTTCATTTTCCCGCTATTTTACTTCTTGGATTGTATTTATTCGTTTGGACGCTCCCTGTATTGAATTAATTGAGATAAATAAAATTTCTATCAACATTCTTCTTATCTGTAATATGGTATCAGAGCAATTTTGCTTCTAGCTTCGCAAATTGATCTTCAATTGATTTTTTTCTACTGATTGATCATGACCAAAGATCCTATTCAAATCTCAGCTTCTTCGATGTGTAATTCCGCCGTTGAAGATGGCTCCAACCCTTATTTCCTCCATCATTATGATAATCCTGGTCTTGTTCTGGTTTCACAGCAATTGACTGGTGAAAACTATACATCATGGAGTCGTTCTACGTTTATAGCCTTATCGGTAAAGAATAAGGTAGGTTTCATAGACGGATTCATCACAAGACCTGAAGACAGGGGCGGACCCACATGGGGTCATGTGGGGTCAAATGACCCCACAATTTTTTTTTTTTTGAGTTTTTTTTAGGGGCCACAAAAAAGGCCAATCCCTTAAAAAAAAAAAAAAAGAAGCCCAAATAAAAAACCCCCTCAATCCCTATTTCCTTCACATCCGTCTTCCATATTCAAACACACTCTGCGGTCTCCATCTTCTTCTCGGCTTCTTCGACTTCAACAGTGAACATCGTCCTCTCAAGTCTCACCAAATTCCAATAGATAGCGTTTCTTAGATGTGGAACGGTGGACTACAAGATTTGGGGTAAAATCTTGTGATTGATTTTTATTAAAATTGTTTGTTTAGAATCCTTCTCACTCATTCATGAATGATGAATGCCCAAAAGTGGACTTTTATTCGGGTCCTTGTTTGATTCTGATCAATTGTTCTTGAATAGAATTGCTGAGAATTACCGAGCACGAATAGCATTATAGCATGAATAAAATTATAGCTGAGATTGAGAATTACAGATTTACAGTGCTGTGAAATTAGAATTTTATCCAGCCTTAATTGTTAGCATAAATAACATCATAGCAATTTTCAAGCCTCAATTGCCGAAGGAAGGAGAAGGAACCAGATTTGTCTGATAAATTATATGATATATAATGAGCAGACTGATTGTTTGATGATTAAAGTGGTGGAAACTGTTGTGGACCTATGAAATTTTATCTCAATTGTTTCATTTAGCTTTAGCATTTAGGATTTTTTTTTGTTTAATACTAGTTGGCTAGTTGCTTGGCTTCTCTTACTTCTCTTAACTGCTGTGAGTGAAGGGGTGAGGTTTTTATTCAAAACATGGACTTCCTATTCTAATTGACTATATTCCAAGTTTCCAACTATTTTGGACCTATGAGGTTTTTATCATTGAAGTGTATTCAACAATGTAAGGTTCAAATGAAATATGGTATTTATTTGTTTATTTATGTATTGAATTTGTTTTTTAACAGACATGGATAAATATTTTAAACGAAAATCCGTATGTTCGAGTGTGGAGGAAATTATTGTTGAAATGAGTGTTAAAAAAGAAAAAAGATGGTCGGGAAGAATCAGATACATAGGCTACAATTGTAATAGCATGTTGACTTATTCTCATTAATGATATGTAGTTCAAAATATTTTTGAATTCTCATTTTTGACCCCACAAGACAAATGGTCTGGGTCTGCCCCTGCTTGAAGATAGTGCTGAACTTCTCAACTCATGGATCCGCAATAACAACATGGTTATCTCGTGGATTCTTAATTCCGTGTGAAAGGAGATTTCAGCTAGTATAATCTACTCCGAATCTGCTCATGAAATCTGGATTGACCTTAAGGAATGATTTCAACAGAAAAAAAGCCCTCGAATCTTTCAACTGAGGCGTGAGTTAATGAATGAATCATACGCAGGGACAAATGTCAGTTGGTGTTTACTTCACTAAGCTGAAAACGGTTTGGGAAGAACTTAGCAATTATAGGCCCTCGTGTTTCATGTGGAAAATGTATTTGTGAAGGAAATAAAAAATTGGTGGATCACTACCACATGGAGTACGCTATTTCCTTAATGGGCTGAATGAGTCTTATTCTTAATGAAAAATGATTGTCGTTTGATGTTGTTAACAATCATCTATGTTCTGTAATAAATAAGGTGACCCCTCATGTTTGGCACCATAGATTGGGACACTTATCTTTTAAAATGTTGAAAACTTTGAAGGATCAGTTACAGTTCAAAAGTGAGAAAGTGGTATTAATCGTTGCTATATTTGTCCATTGGCTAAACAAAGGCGTTTATCTTTTGCTTCAAATAATCACAAGTCTCCCAATAGCTTTGACCTGATCCATTGTGATATTTGGGTCCATATAGCTCTCCAACTTGTGAAGGTTATAAATATTTCCTAACATTAGTTGATGATTGTACAATGTTTACTTGGGTTTACCTGTTGAAACAGAAGTCTGATGTGCATGAGATCATTCCCAGGTTTTTCAGCCTTGTTGAAACATAATTCCGTAAAACTATTAGAGCATTTAGGTCTGATAATGCACCTGAATTGAGATTTACAGAATTTTTCAATCAAAAGGGGGTGTTACACCAATTTTTTTGCCCTGAATGTCCTAAGCAGAACTCCGTTGTTGAAAAGAAGCACCAACATTTGCTAAATGTAGCAAGGGCCTTATATTTCCAATCACAAGTTCCAATTTCATTTTGGGGGTGATTGTCTTGACTGCCACTTACCTGATAAATCGAACTCCTTCATCAATTCTTCAGAAGAAAACACCATTTTCCTTGTTATACCAATCCTCTGTTGATTATAATTTCCTTAAGGTGTTTGGCTGTTTACGTTTTGCTTCCACCATCACCTCTCACCGTTTAAAATTTCATCCTAGAGCTAATGCTTGTGTTTTTATTGGCTATTACCTTGGCATTAAAGGGTATCTACTATATGACATTCTTTCCAAACACATTTTCATTTCTAGAGATGTGATTTTCCATGAACAACATGAACACATCTTTCCCTTTCATTTTATCTCCAAGACCCCTGAGGTCATTGATTCATTTCCTAACCTTGTTTTACCCAATCTTATCACTGTCATACCCCCTAATAAATCTCATACTGCCAATGAATCCCATTCTATTCCTTTCCATGACATATCTAGTACTGCTGATATGCCTTTACCAAGCATTGACACTACTAATGTACCTACATCAAATCATCATCCTCCTGCCACTTTGCAGAATCTTGCTGATCCTACTGATCATATTTCTACGGCTCCCATTGCTCCAGCTCTCAGGAGATCTCTAAGAACCAGCAGAACTCCTTCATACTTGCAAGAATTCCATTATAATCTCTTGTCCAATTCCTCATCACTCACTCTTTCATCACCTCATCATTACCCCTTAAGCCACTATCTTTCCTATTCCAAGCTTTCTCTGTCACATAAAAACTTTACCTTAAACATATCATCAAACATTGATGCACAATATTATCATCAGGCTGTGAAGGAAGCTCATTGGAGAGATGCAATGGCTGCAGAACTAGGTGCTATGGAACTAAACAAAACCTGGTCCATTACCACTTTACCTCAAGGGAAGCACACTATAGGCTGCAAGTGGGTTTTTAAAACCTAGTACAAATCTGATGGGAGCGTTGAACGACATAAGGCACGCCTTGTTGCAAAAGGTTTTACCCAACAAGAGGGGCTCGATTTCTTGGAAACCTTCTCTCCAGTGGCTAAAATGGTGACTGTGAAGCTGTTGTTAGCTATAGCAGCAATAAACAAATGACACATCATTCAGTTGGATGTAAATAACACATTTCTTCATGGGGATCTATTTGAGGCAATTTATATGGACTTGCCTTTAGGCTATACCATTTCTAATTCGTCTAACAGACAGGGGGAACATTTGGTTTGCAGGTTACATAAATCAATTTATGGCTTGAAACAGGCTTCGAGACAGTGGTTTTAGAAATTTTCTCATGCTCTTCTATTACATAGATTCCACCAATCTAAGTCTGATTATTCCCTTTTTACTAGAGGTTCTGGGATAAATTTTTTACCCTGCTGGTGTATGTCAACGACATAGTTATCACATGATCGAACTCTTGTAATTATGATGATTTAAAGGCATTTCTTCACGGACAATTCAAACTTAAAGATCTTGGCAAGCTAAAAAATTTTCTTGGATTGGAGATTGCTCGATCACATAGTGGGATTGTTCTATCCCAACGACACTATGCCCTCTAGTTACTCGAGGACACTGGATTCCTTGGCTGCAAGCCTGCTATGGTGCCCATGGATCCCAAAGTTCGTCTGAACTCCTTTGAGGGGAGCTATTAGAAGATAGTTCTATGTATAGAAGGTTGATTGGGAGATTGCTCTACTTAACAATGTCTAGGCCAGACATTACTTTGGCAGTTCATAAGCTGAGTCAGTTCATTTCACAGCCTCGAAAGCCTTATTTAAATGTTGTGCATCATTTACTACAATACATCAAAGCTACTCCAGGCCAGGGGCTTCTGTTTTCCGCTGGTTCATCTTTACAATTGCGTGCGTATGCTGATGCTGGTTGGGGTGCCTGCTTAGACTCAAGAAAATCAGTCACTGGTTTCTGTGTTTTACTTGGGGACTCGATGGTATCTTGGAAGGCGAAGAAACAAAACATCATATCTAGATCATAACCGTGCTTTGGCCTCGACTGCCAGTGAATTAATATGGGTACAACAACTACTTTGTGACTTTCATGTGGATATCAAGAAACCTGCTTCAATCTTTTGTGATAACCAGGCAGCCGTTCACATTGCTACTAACCCCATCTTCCACGAACGTACCAAACATATAGAGATAGATTGCCATTTTGTGAGAGACAAAATCAATGATGTAGTTATCAAGCTGCTGCCGTCCGATCAAATCATCAACTTGCATATATTTTCACTAAGCCATTACCTACAGCTGCATTACATCATTTGCTGTCCAAGATGGCTATTACTAATATCCATAGCTCAACTCGAGGGAGAGTATCAAAGTCAATGAATTATCTAGCTGGATCTTGGCTCATCTTAGCTGTCAAGCTCGTGTGGAACATTGTAGTTTAGTTTGTTATTTTAGTTGTGAACTAACTTTCCTGCCTTTTTCATTTTCCCGCTATTTTACTTCTTGGATTGTATTTATTCATTTGAAAGCTTCCTGTATTGAATCAATTGAGTTGAATACAATTTCTCTCAACATTCTTCTTATCTGTAATAATAATTATGGAGAAGAGGCAACTTAGGGGCCACTCGACTCGCATGTTGGAGGTATGTAAAATTAAAATTGTTATGCATTAGCCTTCCAGTCTTTAAAGTAAAAAAGAAGTTGATTTGTGCTGAAATATACTCTGCAGTTACTGGAAGAGTTGAAGAAACAAAGTGCTGGCGCTGAAGTTCACCTCGGTGATGTAAGTTCCTTGTCTCTCTGTGCGCACGAGCGTGTATGTGTGAGAATTTTGCCAATTGAAGGATTTTTGGGTCTTGCAAGTGAAGGATTTGTTGCTATTCATGGGGATAATGTAAAGAGAATATGAGAGAACAAAGGAAGAGGAAAATTCTTGCTGAAATATTTGAAGTTGGTTCATGGTAACAGAGTTTGGTCGCCCAATGAAAATTAGTGAAAATAGTGGACGTATTCTATTGGTGAGTTTAATGGAATGGAATGTTTTGGGTATGGATTTAAGAAGAAAATGATTTGAGTGATTGTGTAGTTGAGAAAGGTGAAATTGCTGAAGGTGATGAATTTCAGTTTAATCATTGTGTACGCATTATTTATAATATATTAAATATCACATCAAGTAAGAATCATTTTTTGGACAATTTTAACTCTAATACAATTCAATTATTTCAATAATACCTTACATTTCGTTTTTCAATATGTAATAAATACTACAAAATCTTTGTAATGTATGAATTTTGTATTATTAATTCTCAATTAAGTAACATTTACATTAATTTAAACTCAATGAAATCTAGAATTATTATAGATGAATTTATTTCTATTCATATATCTAGAAATTTTAATGGGTATTTAAATTCATGTATTAGCAATTAATTCTTATGTACCAAATGCAGTATAAAGTATTTTATCATTACAAAAAATTTAAATCATAAAAATTGAGTTTTGAGTTCAATTTTCTTTCTTTTTTTTTTTTTTTAAATTTCTATCCTAAATTTTATTTTCGTTAATTCATTTGAGACTCATCAAATCATCTCAATAAATTAGTATCAAATATTACTTTTACAATACATATAAACTATTTGAGAATAACGTGCATTATGGCAAAAATCACAATATTCAGCTTGTAACTTTACTACATAACATTGTTGGATGAGATAGCATTTTCATTACATAAAATGTCTATAATTCATTAAAAGTTATTAAGCTGTCGAAATCAAGTATAACTTTTCTAAATTAATAAAAATGAATGTCATTATTATCTCAACATTTTTATTACTTTTTTCTTTTTAAAATATTTCTAAAATATCTATTCGATCAGGATATGAAGTTGAAGGTGCAAAATCTCTTGAATTTGCGTATTACTTTTCTAAATTAATGAACATAAATGTTAATTATTTGTAAGAAGTTGAAGGTGCAAAATCTCGTGAATTTACGTATTACTTTTCAAGATTAATAAAAATGAATGTAAATTATCATCTCAATATTTTCATTACTTATTTTAATGGGTAGTATAGTCAACTTGGTTTTTCAATTTTCCCTGTATTTTCTTTATCTTTTGTTGTTTGTTTTTTAATTAATTCTCTTTTGTATTTCCGAATGGAATTTGGGCATAGAGGAACTTTTCAAAATAGTTGTTGAAGTACATTTTTTAATACTATGGGTGTGTTTGATTGCTAGTATGAAATTTGTATGGAAAGAAAATAAATTTTAAGGAATTCAATTGTTTATAATTTATTTGTATGAAATTATTAATTAAATGTGTTTTATTGATTTAGTTTTTAATTTTAAAAATATTTTTTTTTGTTCATTTTTTATTGGAGGTAGATGAGAGAGTGAATATATTGGAGAGAGAGAAAGAGTGAATTGTCTGAAAAATAAAAATCACCCATTATTGTAAATAGTAAGTTATTGGTGAATGATAATTGTATACTTGCAGCCCTAAATATTATTAGTATATGTATCTATATTCATTCCCTATAAATATAGGACTTTGATTCTCATTATAATATACACAAGTCTATCGACTTCTCTTTTTCTCTCTTTTCAAAACACGTTATCAGCACGAAAGTTTAATTTTTCAAAGTTTAAAGAATGTAGTACTTTTTTTTTTAATCATTTATCACGTGTACCAAAATCAATTTGGTAACATGTGATTTTTTTATCATACAAAAGAAAAAAAAAACGCAAGTGTAAAAATTATTTCAAAGGAAAACATTATATGCACTTCTTCAATAATCTGTAGAATTTGAACAATTCGTTTATTGAAGAATTGTTATAGAATTAGTTAGAAGATATTATATATTTCAAATCGTACACAGATGCAATAATTTCCTCGCCCGAGTTCACAATTTTTTTGGCCAAACACATACACATTATTTTATGGCAGTCAATTTTTATTCTGCAATTTATATGGCCGTTCACATACACATACCGATCATTTTGTAATTATTTAGCCTACCACTTCTGCATAACATCTTTGTGATTTATATTAATTGTTGCGCCACCTTAAATTACACGTATTCACTATAATTATGGTGGAAGACAATATTAGTGTGAAATAATAAACTTCTATTCACTGCAATTAGTTACTGTGTTTGTTATTCATGTAATGCTGGTGTTTAAAGTGTTTTCTTTAATTTGATAATAGTCAATAGTTATGTATATCTACCTTAATTTTTTGCTTCTTATTTATAATTCGATTAATTATCACATTCTTATTCTTTTTAATACATAGTATAGTTTATGAATCTAGTACTCATATATTAATCTAATTATAAAAGTGTTGTTGCTCCTTAACTAGCATAACATTATAATTAATATTCCAAAATAATATCTCTTGCTCCTAGCCAATATGAATTATAATTTTCAATATTTATAATATTCCAAAATAATATTACTTGTTTTTGAAAAGAATTAATTATATTTTTCAATATTCCAAAAAAATATTGACATATTATTCTTGAAAAAACAATATTAAAATACAACGTGCTCCCGAAGTAGCACATGTTTCGAAGAATATATTATCTTAAATTAGCATTTATCCCTGAAAGAAAACGCGTAACTTATGTGATGTTGATATTGACTACTTGATATCTAATCATATTTTTTGAAACTAATTGTATTTCTTTTTTCTTTATTATATAGTTAATCAAATATCACAAAATTCGAGTTTGCTGCACTTGAAATGTCTGGCAAAAAATATTTGTTATGTGTACTCGATTCTGATATCCATCTTGTCTCAAAAACCTTGGGAGAGACAATCAAAAAAAAGTTTTATTAATATTCAAGAAGAATATTAATTTATCGCTCCAAATGAGCATACAATTCAATATTTCAATATTCTCAAAGAATATCATACCAGTGTTTCTGAAAAAGTATTGATTTAATGATGGATTGCGAAAATACTTGCTTGATTGATAGTGCAGCTACACGTACTGTTCTTCAAGACAATATTTTTTTTTTTTTGAACTTAACATTAACAGAAAATAATGTTAATACGTTATTAGGTGTATCGAATATCGTTGAAAGCTCTGAAAGAGCTTGTATTATTTTACCAAATAATACAAAATTATATATTGATGATACACTTTATTCAAGAAAATCCACAAGAAATTTGCTTCGTTTTAAGATATCCGTTGCAATAGATATCACATTGAGACGATCCAAGAAAATAATGTTGAATATCTTTGCATAACTTCTTTTGTATCTGGCTAGAGTAGATAAAAGAAAAAAATTATGCACTCCCATCTGGCATGTATTATACATTTATAAAAATTGTCAAGTCATATATTATCAAGAACCAGAAGTTCGTCGATACAAAATTTTTTATACTTTGGCATGATCGATTTGGACATCCGGGAGCTATAATGATGCGAAGAATAATAAATAATTCACATGGACATCCTTTAAAGAATTAGAAGATTTTTTTACCTAATGATTATCCATGTGTAGCTTGTTCGCAAGTCAAGTTAGTCATTAGACCTTCGGCTATAAATGTCAATATTAAATCTCTAACTTTCTTGGAAAGGATTCATGGAAATATATGTGGGCCAATACACCCACCACGTGGACCATTTCATTATTTTATGGTATTAATTGACTCTTCTATTAGATTGTCACATGTTTGCATAATTTCTACTAGGAATGTAACTTTTACTAGACTATTTGCTCAAATTATAAAATTACGAGCGCAATTCCACGATTACTCAATCAAGACTATTCGTCTTGACAATGTTGGTGAATTTTGATCACAAGCATTTGCTGATTATTGTATGTCCATTGTTGTTGTTGAACATTCGGTTGAGTATGTCCATACACAAAATGGTTTAGTTGAGTCATTTATTAAACGTCTACAACTTATTGTTAGACCATTACTTATGAAAACAAAACTCACAACTTTTGTTTGGGGTCATGCCATATTGCATGCTGCGTCATTGATTCGTATCAGACCAACTGCATATTATCAATATTCACCTTTGCAACTAGCATTTGGTTATGAACCTAATATTTCTCACCTTCAGGTTTTTAGTTGTGCTGTTCAAGTCTCTATTTCACCCCCACAACGGACTAAAATGGCAACGAAGACTTGAAATTTATGTGAGTTTTGATACACCATCTATTATTAGATATCTCAAACATTTAACAGTTGATTTATTTACTGTACGTTTTATAGATTGTCATTTTGATGAAATAACTTTCCCAATTTTTGGAGGAGAAAAACTACATCCTCATAAAAAATGTAAAATTTCTTGGAGTGAAACAAATCTATATCATTTTGATTATAGAAGCAATCAATGTGAGCAAGAGATTGAAAAAATTATTCATTTGCAAAGGGTTGCAAATCA